GGGGGGGCTCATCACCCAGGTCCCAAATAAATCACACACGGAGACTTATTCCTAGTTATGAATATCCAGCCTCAGTTGCCTTGCTTCTCACCAGCTTTTCTTTTTGTTTTGTTTTTTTTTGAATTTTTAAAGTTTTTTTTTAAAGTTTATTAAAATATAAAAGTTTCCATTTTCGCCCCTCCTCCCAACACCCTCCCCCTCCCCCCACTCCCTCTCCTCTTCCCTCTCCATCCCTAAGAGCAGTCCGGGTTTTCTGCCCTGTGGGTAGTTCAATTTCCTCCCCGCTCCCACCAGGTCCAGGAAGGTGAGTATCCAAACAGACTGGATCCCCAAAAATCCAGAATATGCAGAGGAAACAAGTCCCAGAGTCATTGTCAATGGCTTTTTAGAAAGACTTCGGGTCAGCCACATTCAGGGAATCCAGCCTCCTCCAGAGAATCTGGTTGGATCAAGCGCTCCTTCAGTCTCAGTCAACTGGCCTTGGTGAACTCTCGTTAGATCAGTCCCCTTGTATCAGTGGGTGATCGCTCCCCTTGCGGTTCTGATTTCCTTTTTCATGTTCTTCCTCCTTCTGCTCCTCCTTTGGACCTTAGGGAGCTCAGTCCGGTGCTCCAATGTGGGTCTCCGTCTGCATCGCCATCCATTGCCGGATGAAGGTTCCCTCTGATCTTGCCCTCCCTGCTCACGTTCTTCTTCCTTCTGCTTCTCGCTTGGACCTAGGGAGTTAAGTCCAGTGTTCCAACGTGGGTCCCCGTCTCTAGCTCCATCCATTGCCAGATGAAGGATCTATGGTGATAAGCAAAATATTCATCAGTATGGTTATGGGCCAAGGCCAGTTCAGGCACCCTCTCCTCTTGAGGGAACAATCTGGGGATCTCTCCTTGGACCTGGGATCCCATTTACAGTCAAGTCTCTAGTAAACCCTAAACTGACTTCCATAGTTGAGATATATTCTTCCCTGAACCCATATCTATCCTTCCTTTCCCCCCCCCCCCGTCCCAGTCCCCCGAGCATTTCCCATTCCTCCCCTGCTCCCTTCTCTCTAACCCTCTCCCCTTCCAACTACCCTCCCCCCCCCCCCCCATGCACCCGTGGTTACCTGGAACTCTTGTCTATTTCCAATCTCCAAGAGGAAAACTACCTGCATTTTCTTCAGGTTCACCTTCTTATTTAGCTTCTCTAGGATCACGAATAATTGGCTCAAAGACCTTTAATTATGGCTAGAATCCACTTATGAGTGAATACATACCTTATTCCTCTTTTTGGGTCTGGCTTACCTGACTCAGTAAAGCGTTTTCTTTTTCTTTTTTTTTAATTTTTCTATTTATTTATTATTTTTTTATTTTTTAATTTTTACTGGGAACCCCTCTAGAATCAAGTCTCTTGCAAACCCTAGAATGGCTGTCTTAGTTGCGATATAAACTTCCCTGCTCCCATAACCATCCTTCTTCCCTCCCCCACTTCCATTCCCCCAAGCCATCCCCAATTCTTGCCCTCTCCCCTCTCCCTAACCATCTTCCTTTACTTCCACCCCCCCCATCCCCCATGCACCCGAGTTTGCTTGGCAATCTTGCCTAGTTGTATTATCCAGGATGATAACTATATAAATTTTCTTCAGGTTCACCTTCTTATCTAGCTTCTCTAGGATCACAAATTATAGACTCAAAGACCTTTAACTATGGCTAGAATCCACTTATGAGTGAGTACATACCATATTCCTCTTTTTGGGTCTGGGTTACCTCACTCAGTAAAGCATTTTCTATTTCCATCTATTTGCATGCAAAATTCAAGATGTCATTGTTCTTTACCGCTGAGTAAAACTCTAATGTATATATGTTCCACACCTTTTTTTCTTTTGAGACAGGGTTTCTCTTGGGCTTTGGAGCTTGTCCTGCAACTAGTTCTTGTAGACCAGGCTGGCCTCGAACACACAGAGACCCACCTGCCTCTGCCTCCCGAGTTCTGGGATTAAAGGTGTGTGCCACCACCGCCCAGCTTTCACCAGCTTTTCTTAAATTATCCCAACTGCCTTTTGCTTCAGGGCCTTTTTCCTTGTCTTACTTCTGTATGTCTTACTTTCCCCCTTACTCCGTGACTGGCAGGGGGGCTGGGTAGCTGGCTCCTGACTTCCTTCTCTCCTTGTTCTCTTGTCGCTCCTCTTTCTCCTCGGTTCTCCTTCTCCGTCTTCTTTTTGCTTTTTTTTTTATTAAGAATTTTTTAATACAATCTTTTTTCATTTTAAATAGCTATCCCCGTTCCCACTCCCTGTCCTCCTCTGCCCCCCACGCCCCCCTCCCCATCTACTCCTAAGAAAGGATGAGGCTTCCCATGGAGAGTCAACATCACCCTATATATATCACCCTATGTCTAGGCTAAGCAAGTTATCCCCACAAAGAGAATGTGCTTCAAGATGTCAGTTCAAGCACTAGGGATGTGTGTCCTTTCTTCCATCTCTTTAATGAATTTTTTTATTTCCTCTTTATTAAGGGTCTCTATCATCTTCATAACATATTGAATGTCATTTTATTCTGGTTCTTCTGGGTTAGGATGTTCAGATGTTCCTACTATAAGACCACTAGGTTCTGGTGGTACCATTTGGTCTTTACGTTGTTGGATGTGTTCTTACACTGCTGTCTGCCCATCTCTTCCTCCAGTGGGTGAGACCTGTGCTTCGGGGGGGGGGGGGTTCGTCTTCCTCCAATGGGTGAAGATGGGGTCTGTGGCTTAGGTGGTCACTCTTCCTCTGGATGCAAGCCAGTCCGTGCCTCTAGTGGATGCTGATAAGGCTCTGGGCCCCCTCTCCAGGTACAGTCGTCTGGGCCAGGTTTTGTTCTGGGGCAGTTTGGGCCAAGGTTCCCGTGGTCACAGATGTGGTGACAGATGGTCGTGGGTGTGTGGAGGCTGCTTGGGTTCTCCAGGGCTTGGTGGGTGGGGGTGAGGCAACAGGATGTTCCTCCCAGGGCAAGGTCCTAGAGAGCTGAGCCCTCTAACTGGGAACCCAAAGGCTTACCTCGCCAGGGGCAGTCTGGGACACGCTGTTCTCCTCCTATTTATATGCTTTTCCTGCCAGCCCCTCCCTACTATTCTTACTCCTGCCTCGCTATTGGCTGTTCAGCTCTTTATTAGACCTTCAGGCGTTTTAGACAGGCAAAGAATCACAGCTTCACAGAGTTAAACAAATATAGCATAAACAAAAGTCACACACCTTAAAATAGTATTTCCCAACACCCCCAATACATCAGCCTTCTGTCTTCAACTCTCTCTCTTTCCCCCCCTTGCCCTCTGTTTTCCCCCTCCCTCTTCCTCTCCCCCCTCTTAACTTACTGAATCTAGGTGGCGCTGCCTGCTGGAAAGCTGACTAAGCATGTGCATGGTGACATGATCTTGTTTGGGTCTTGGACAAGGGACCACAGCTTCAGCGAGTTGGTGAGTGCACTGGGCGTGTCCTGACCAGGAGACAGCAGTTCCCAGCCCTCCTCCCCGCCCTCAGACTCTTCCACTCCTTCCTCTCTCCCACAATGTTCCGTAAGCTATGTTGGAGTTGATACAGATGCCCTGTTTAGGGTTGCACAATGAGCTTTTCTTTCTTGACCTTCCGAAACCAGACAGGTGATCTTATTTTGGTGTCAACAATAAATCTAAACCTAACTCGGGATCTACTAAAAGATCCACCCTCGGCTCTCAGTCCCCAGCAAGGCATAGTTCCACTCCTGACATTTCATAGTTTGCAAGGCAGAGGATCAAACCCGGGGTCTTATGCATATGAAGGAAGACTGCTCATTGAGATAGCTCTGAAAATATAAGAAAAATATATTTTATTTCATTTATACATGTGTGATTGTATGTGTGCATATTCACTGTGTTGGGATGCTCACAGAGAGGCCAGAGGAGGCTGTGAGAGCCTCTGGAGATAGAGAAACGGGTGATTATGAATTGCTCCATGTAGGTGCTTGGATCAGACTTGGTTCCTCTGGAAGAGTCGCACGTGCTCTTAACTGCTGGGTCATCTCTCCAGCTCCAAAAGATAGTCTTTAAGTCATTTGTAATTATCCAAGCCTCTAAAAGAATATATAGCCTGTCCTCCAAAACATCAAGAGAAAAGATGGTATTTAAACATACCTGTTACTGAGTCAACAGAAAGCCAGCATGCCAAAGCATGTTTTTCCATAAAGGCGAATAACAGCAGTCAGCTGTAACAGATAACCTGAAGTAAACTCACTCCTCTCAGCTTCACACAGGAGGGCTGTGAAAGTATAACCTGTCAGGAGCGCTTGTCACGAGCTACTGCAGACCACGATGCAATTACAGCTTATAGCAATTGATAATTCAGATGTCAACCCACCAGAGAAATTAATCTGAGATGGAGGAACCCTGCCCGCAAGGCCAGCAGGGCCACTGACTCTGAAGACTGTTGATCTCATCTGTAATTTCACTTGTGCAATAACAGCTCTGACATATCCCCATTACCATGCATTCTCAAGTAAGGTGTAATTGCTTCTGCTGTTACAAATTATACATTCACACACACACACACACACACACACACACACACATCCATTATGAACAGACATATTTGTGGATGGTCAGAAATATGTCTTCTCTCTACATTATGTTCTCCTCACTATGGTGAGAATCCTATCTATCATCAGTCTGTCTGTCTGTCATCTATCTATCTATCTATCTATCTATCTATCTATCTATCTATCTATCTATCATCTGTCTGTCTGTCTATCATCTATCTATTTGTCTATCTACCTATCATCTATCTATCTATCTATCTATCTATCTATCTATCTATCTGTCTGTCTGTCTGTCTGTCTGTCTATCTATCTATCTATCAGCTATCTACCTAAACACACATGCTTGGGAATTTGTGACAGCAGAAGAAATTAGTGTTTAGTTAGGAGGCTTCACCATAGCCCCCTGGCATCCATTTTTGGAGTGTTGGGTGAAAAACTCCATTCCAAGCTCCCTCCCCTGGGAGTTGCCTCAGTTCAAACTCCACCTCCGAGAAAGCACGCCAAACAGTGAACCCTCCCTAGAGGGTCAAGAAAGCCCGCCAAATGGTAACACCTCCCCAGGGAAGGTCAAGACCACTCCCACAGGCTATTTAAACTGTCCCCCAGAGAATGAATACATGGTCTCCCCAGTGGTCTCCCCTTTTCTCTCTTTCCCTCTCCATGTTTCCCAGGGCCACCCGGGAGTGCTGGCAGCCATTAAGCCTGGGCATCTTTTAATTCGGTCTGATTTGGTCTGATTGGAATTATTTGCATTGGCAGAGAGGTTGGTCATGTAAGGAAAAATACTTAACAATAAGATTAGAAGAATAAGAATGTAGAATGTAGAGGAATAAGAATATAGAAGAATTTAAAATGTAAAATAATAAAGAATGATAGAATTGGGACAGAAGATTACAGCTAAGAAATTATAGACAATTAGGAAGGACAAGAGAATTAGAATTAAAGAAGAAATAAAGAAAATGGCCATCAGATACTGTGTGAAGTTATTATAGAACTCTTTCTATCCCTGCTCCTGAGAAGTTTTCTTGTTCCGAACCCTGGGTAGGGACTGTGAACTGGTCTCTTAGCTTTAGAAATAATCCAAGAACAATTCCATGTTTTAGAAGACAGTGACGTCCCAAGACTCTTGTCTTAGTTTGTTGGAGTTTTCTCACAAGCACTCAGAAAACTCCTCGTATGACTCCCTGCTTGGACTGTGTTCCAATATTTCAGCTGTTCTTTCAAAGGACCTGCATTCGGTTTGCAGCACTGATGTTGGGCAGCTTCTCAATGCCTGTAACTCCTGCTCTAAGAGAGGTCATGCTCTCTTCTGGTCTCTGCAGGTACCTACTACATGTGTTGTAGCACATACACATATATGCTCAAATGAAAATCTTTTTAAATGACCAAAACAAAATGATAGCTTGAATGTCTAGACTAGACAATGGGTACAGGTGTGATCTGGAGTCAGGAAGGAATATAGTCTGTCAAAAAACACCCACAAGTCACTCTGACAGAACCTGGGATGTGTTATTTCATATATATGTTTTTATTTAATTACCACCCAACTCTGTGAGAGAGACACTTCTTTCTTTCTTATGTTTCTTTATTTATTTTTATGGTGTGGGGATCAAATAAGGAGCCATACAGTACTACTAAATACCCCATCTCTGAGAGACACTCTCAGCTTTTGATGGCTTTTGCTTTGGTTTGTGGATTGTTTGCTGACTGACTCTCTCTCTCTGTCTCTCTCTGTCTCTCTCTGTCTCTCTCTCTCTCTCTCTCTCTCTGTCTGTCTCTGTCTCTCTCTCTGTCTCTCTGTCTCTCTGTCTCTCTCTCTCTCTCTCCCTGTGTGTGTGTGTGTGTGTTTTGTCTTGCTTTCTCTTTTGAAACAATGCCTCATGTAGTCTAATCTACATCAACCTTGCTAAGTAGTTAAGAATGACCTTGAATTTCTGATCCTCCTGTGCCTTCCGAAGCATTGTGACATCCTGTTTCCCCAAACAGAACGACAAAAAGAAACCTGGTGCCAGGTCAAAGCAGAGCTTCTGGATGGCAGCAAGAATCTCATTGTGTCCCGAGATGAGGGTCAATGACAAGTTTGAGCGGTAACAGGAGCTGACTTTTTGTTTTCTTTTGTTTTTTGATATTGTTATGGGTAGCTCACCAGAGATAACCATTCAGACACAGTTTATAGCCAACTGAAAATATTGGTTACTGCTGGCTGGTACTACACCCAAGTATTCAGGGACCTCAGTGTAGCTCTTGAATGTCTAGGCCACATTCTGGTATCTCACTCAGTAGTTGGGGGGTGGGGGGTGTTCCAGTAAGCAAGCAATTTCACAGAAGCTAAGATAAGCGGTTAGCTGGAGGGGGAGTGTTTGCACAAGCAGACCGTTTTAAAAAGCTAAGATAAATTAACTATGACAGTCTGACTTTGGGTTCCTAGAATAGTGTTGGGTAATTTTCCATGGGATTCTCCATCAGAGAGATCAAGTTCTAGCTAAGCCCAAAATGGCCTCTGTGAGATTACAAGATGGAGGTAACTCTGCAGGGTTTTTCCCAGTCCCAGTATAAACTCCTGTAGACCAAAGTGGCATCTAACTTTCTCCATGGCTGAAGGTGGCTTTGCATGCTTGATCGTCTTGTAGAAATGAAGATATTCTAAAGAAGCACTTGTGTCTCTCAATCAGACGATTAAAACAATGGACCCCACTGAAATGGGAACTTCCTTAGGAATCTCGTGCCAACCGGAATCCTGGAAAGAGATCTCCTACAGTTCTAACGCTGTAGGTCACCTCACCGGCTATGCCTGAAGCCCAGACAATGAGGGTCAGCAGTGGGCAGGACCACACCATGACAGCAGTTGCTTAGAGATGCACATCCCTCTCTATTTAAACTATGACCTCACTTCTGGTCTGGAAGGTGGACTAGATCTTTTATTCCCTCTTCCCATTGCCACTATACTGAATAAAGCTCTCCTTTCTACTTTTGCTGTTTTAATTGGCTTAAGACTGAGTAGCTCAATTTGGCTTCTTGAGTACAGTCTGTGACTCCCCCCAAGTTTTGTAGCACCTCAGCCTCCATGTCTCAGATGCTAGAATAGCAGGTATGTGCCACCATTGTAGGGAATCCAGCAGAGATGACTGTTCACACTTGGGTTTAAGCTAATAGAGAGTCTTTATTCAGCAGGTGGTGACTACACTGGATGTTCAGGACACCAGCATATCCCTAATCCTTTCTCAGGGTGGGATTTAAGCACAGAAAACACATGCTGGGTTAACAGCGTTCAGTTAACAAGAACAGCTAGCCAGAAACAGAACTACAGAGGCTACAAACTAGGTTAATACATAGAGACTTTCCTAGAATTGGGGCCTTTGAAGGATTAGGCCTTTATTTTAGTTTTGGTAGGTAGTGCTGTCTACATGCTGAGTTTTATAGCCTGAATGGCACGTCCACCATGGAGTCAGTTGTGCTAAGGTCTAGGGGCCTTACAGCACACCTGACACTGTCTGATTCATGCTTTAAAACTTCAGCTTCTAAGAAGGGTGTGGTAGTGCATGCTTCAATCCCAGCATTTGGAAGGTAGAAGCAGGAGGATCTCTATGAGTTCTAGGTAAGTCTGATCTGTACAGTGAGTTCCTAGCAAGCCAGAGCTACATAGTGATACCTTAAAAGACAAAAACAAGCCCCCCCAAACCCTGTGGCTTCTGGGGCTGGAAGATGACACAGTGGGTAAGAGCACTTGTTGCTCTTGCAGGTTCAGTTCTCAGCACCTAAATGGTTCACAACTATCGGTTAAGTCCAGTTCCACGCAAACAATACCCTTTGCTGGTTTCCTTGGGCACCAGGCATGTACATACCACAGCCAACATAAACACACATAAAATAGGTCTAAGAAAGGTCATCTAAGACTTCTGTATGGAAAAAAAAGACAGCAGAGTAGGACCTGAATAGAATTTGTTCATTTGGGAGTGCTTAATGTACTTATAACATTGAGTCTTCCATCCAGGACTATGGGATATTTCTTTTTTTTATTGATTTTTATTAAGCTCTACATTTTTTCTCTGCTTCCCTCCCTTCCTCTCCCCTCCCGTTCAATCCTCTCCCAAGGTCCCCATGCTCCTAATTTACTCAGGAGATCTTGTCTTTTTCTACTTCCCATGTAGATTAGATCCATGTATGTCTTTCTAAGGATCCTCATTGTTGTCTAAGTTCTCTGGGACTGTGATTTGTGGGCTAGTTTTCTTTATGTTTAAGAACCACTTATGAGTGAGTACATGTGATAATTGTCTTTCTGGGTCTGTGTTACCCAAAATGATGTTTTCTAGCTCCATCTATTTGCCTGCAAAATTCAAGATGTATTTATTTACTTATTTATTTGTTTGTTTGTTTGTTTGTTTATTCTGTGTAGTACTCCATTATGTAAATGTACCACATTTTCCTTAGTCATTCTTTGGTCGAGGGGCTTTTAAATTGTTTCCAGGTTATGACTGTGACAAACAATGCTGCTGTGAACAGACTTGGGATATTTCTTTAATGAAATGCTTTAGTTCTGAGATGATGCAGAGAGCTCATGGTAGAGGTCACTCAGGCCATGGTGAGTAGAAAGCGATATTCTGATAGAGAAGGGCCCAGGATGAGATAGGGCCCCGCTAGTTTCTATACTTCCCAGTGCCCCTTTCAAACTATGAAAGTCACTTCTGCTCTTATAAGGGACCATGTCCCATCTCCCACGGGCATTTTGGCCCTCTGCATACACAAATGACAAAGATGCCCCTCCCTGTGAGTAAACACGGTCCTGCTTAAGGTCAGTCGAAGCCTCTCTTTCTTTTTACCTCTGTCTCTGTATAATTGCCTTTAATAATCTAACAGCCTCCGAGTACATTCCCCACTTACTAACTCCTTCTAACTAGGCTCTACCTCTAAAAGAATCCATGAACCCCCAAAAATGTTATCAAATTACAAATCCACCAGTGATTTTAAACATTGATTGCTCCAGAACTCTCAAGATCAATCACTTCTCAATATTAGAATTACCAGCTTGGAGTCAAGATTTTTATATATGAGTCTTAGGGGTGTTTTATCAAAATATTTTTCATACAATATATTTTGATCATGTTTCCCCCTCCCAGATTCTCTCCATCTCCCTGTCCACCCGACCTGTACTTTCTGCCTTTTTAAAAAAAACAAACAAATACCACCAACAAAACCCCAAGAAACACAAAAATAGAAACCAAGAAGGGGTACATTTTTAATCAAACCTTAACAGTACATATGTATATTTATTTTATACAAAAGACAAGGAGAGAAGAGATGTCAGTCTGTAAGTGTTGGGACTATTGATATCTAGAGAGGGACACTTCTGTCTCATGCCATATCTTAGTGTTTATATTGCTGTGAAGAGACACCATGACAACAGCAACTCTTATAAAGGAAAACATTTAATTGGGGCTGGCTTGTAGTTCAAAGGATTAGTCCATTATCATCTTGGCAGGAAGCACAGTGACACACATACAAACATGTTGCTGGAGAGGTAGCCAAGATCACTACATCTGGATTGGCAGGCATCAGGAAGAAAGAAACACTGGGCCTGACTTGAGCATTTGAAACCTCAACACACTTCCTCCAATAAGGTCACACCTACTCCAACAAGGCCACACTTCCTAACAGTACCACTCCCCAGGAGCCTGTGGGGGACTTTTTCATTCAGTCCCCCACACATCATTTACACAGATAAACGAGCAAATAAATCCAAGATTAGTTGGAATAAAGCAATATTGTCAAGAGAAATGGGATACTACCCAGTTCAGATTTACACACATGCACATGTACACACACACACACACACACACACACACACACACACACACACACAGAGAGAGAGAGAGGGAGAGAGAGAGAGAGAGAGAGAGACAGACAGACAGACAGAGACAGACAGAGACAGAGAGAGACAGAGAGAGAGAGAGGCACATATTTACAGAGGTGCAGGGGGAAAAGAAGGAGAGAGGGAAATAAATAGATAGATACCCAGAAGACTGTATGCTGAGTCCTGTATGGCTCCAGGGATTGACTTGACTAAGAAGGTGTGGAATGAAGGAAAGACAAGCACAGAGACACACAGAAAGCCAGGACCAGGTGACCTGACCTCTCTGATGGAGAAGCGGAAGCACCCTGGCCGCAGTGTATTTATTGGATACATTTGAACAGGGAGGTGGGGTTATTGCATACAGACAAACAAGGAGGCTGGGCCATTACCTACAGATAAACGTGGAAGTAAGGTTATTTATACAGCTGAACCAGGAGGTGGATTTGACTAGTCTTAGTCTCTGTGGGGGAGTTGTCTTCCGGCTGGAAACATCTAGTGCGGGGGTGGGGGTGGGGTGGAGGAAGCTATAGTAGAGGTTTTCTGCACACACTGTCAGCACTTGCACCTGGACCCGAGGATAGCTTTGCTACTCCCATGACTCTGAGGCACTGGAATCTTGACATGGCCAAGTCAGGCAACGAACATTCACGGAGGTCTTCATTCACTCCTACAAATATGAGAATAGGTTCTCTTGGCCTTAGTGCCGTGATCCCTTTTGAAACTCCTGTGCCATGATAGCAAAGTGGAGAAAGAAGTAATTACGCAGGACGAAGCAAAAGAGAAGAGGAGACAGGCCAACTAAACTGGCTTGTATCCCGGGGAAGCTATAGGAGGAGGAATAAGGAAGGCTTGGTGCTGGAAGAGCCAAATAAATCATGGTGTTGGCACAAAGTGTTGGACTCATGCTACTGTTAACAGTTTGTCTCAGTGAATCTGGAATGCCCGGCACCGTGTGATTACTGATGCTACCTCTAGGAGACCTGCTGAGCTGATGTCCCAAACAGTCCCTATTGCTACTGCATTCGGGACTAGTTCTGGTCTCAGCTGTGGCGAGGTGTAACATGTGCCCGGTAGCATCTCTTTTAATGTTTCATGCAAAGAATTGAAAACAAAGATGGTGTAAGCATCTCACAAGAACTGTACAGTGTTTTGACAACAACTCTATATGATTTTGTGATTTTCTAAGTTATTTTTCTCAAATGATATAATTTATAAAAGGAATTAAAGATTACACAAAGATTTAAAAGTTAGTATAAAATATATGTGCTATATATTTCTTTTTAAACAGGGTCTTCTGTAGCTCAGGGTGAACTTCTGATCCCCTGCTTCAGTTTCCTGAGTGTTAGCATGGATTGTAGGCATGTGCCATCATGGTTAGTTTCTGTAAATGAGTTTTTAATTTTTATTTTTATCCTCTGTGTTGAATTTTCTGACTTCCAGCCAGATCCTGATTGAAAACTTCTCCCCTTATTATGACCCCTCAATTTCCCATCTTTTGGTCCTGATTCAAGCCCACGCTGCGTGCAAAGCATTGCTCTATGAGTCATGTATATATTAGTACTTTGTTTAGTCTTCAGCCCATGCTAAGGGGTGGTATAACAACTATTACTCCAGAACAGGAGAGAAAGCTGAGGTCTACCATAGTGAGAGTAGATCACATAGCAAATGCTAGGAAGAAAAGGGGCTTCCAGGTTAGAATCTAGAGTCCCTTGAGATGGGATTATCTAAAGTACATGAAAATGATCATAGGGGACACTTAACTTCACAAGTCTTTTTATAAAAAAAAATAAGATTTATTTTTATGTGTGAGTGTTTTTTGTTAGCTCAAGATTGACTGAGGCAGAACAGAAGTAAAGAAGGAGGCATCTGACTGCCACAGAGGCAGAATTGTCCTTTAATCAGAACAGTCGAAGGCCACCCCTCTCTCCTTAGGAGAGGAGACTACGGTGCTCCATAACAATGGGGGCTGGGGGCCTCATAGTGCAGGAAAAGGAATCTTGAGAATGGACTATTGCATCTGCCGGTCAGCTTGCCTGCAATCTGGAAGTGGGAAATGTAAGCATTACAGCTCGGATGGAAAGGCATCCTGGCAATCGGGAGCCAAGGAACACCACCAAGTCACACAGCACAACAAACCCCACACAAGAGATTTATTGGGAAAGAACAAACCTGGAGGGTGACTGCCTCTGCTTGGGTGAGAAACAGCAGAGAACTGAGCAGGAGGCAGGGCTTATATAGTTTCTTGGGCTGAGGGGGTGATGGAACTTTTCAGGGTGAAGCTTTTCAGGGTGGGGACTGGCTGGTAGGATTTCAAGTCCAGAGCTTTGGCCTTTAAATCAGTAGAGTGGGGGCAGAATCCCCCACTGTTAGGGCAGTTAGAGTGTTCTGTGGGTG